ACACATAAATGAATGTGAAAATATACTGTTAAAGGGTAGTAATAGTATGTGTACATGCGTACCTTGGTCATGGGGAGTCTCAGCAAGTACTCGGGATCACTGGTGTTCAAGACGTAATGGTAGCAGGTGTAGGCAATTATAGCATCTTCAGATCTACTCTTCTTAGTTGGATCTTCCTATTGTGAAATTACAATACGTAGGAGGTAAAGTTGAACACTTTCTAAGGACACCCCTGGAATGATAACACCTCTCTATCTAAGAAAAGCTCTTGCAACCCCCCTTCCCCCACAATACTATTCCAGTGTACTGTTGCATCACAATGCAAACTTGTGGTATGCAAGGAACACAAATTTTCCCTTTACTTATGGCAATGCATGCAAGAGCTGTTGTCACTTAACCTTCCTTAAAGAGCAAAAGTATGTTAACTATGCAACTATGCTTCACACTTACGGCAAAAACAATGGGCTGATTTGGGACCTGGAAGAGTGTGGCCGTCACACTGCATAACAACAAACTCTTTGTCGATACATTTGCACACACATAAAAAGGGCCCAAGATGAACTGACGTGTTAGTCCCGACTGCCATAAGTGTTGTCAGAAGACAGTCTTCACTTGTGATGTCTGGACGACTGCAGAATTGAGGCACAAGGAAAGGAATATACACTTAAACAGCAGTACAAGGGGCTATATACCATATAAGAAACTTTTTGTCATCTAAATATTTGTGTAGGGATAAAAATACTTTTTTAAAAAGTGGTTTGCCGCATGTGAATGAAAACAAAACAAATAGGCAAATATTTCGTATACAGAATGGGTATTTCATACTAGTAGTACTGTACATTCACAGCGATATAATTAAATACCCATTAGTGTTGCTCCCACCGGTGATGTAGAGAAATCCAGTGTCCCCAAATTCGATCTCGTCTGGGATGTTGATGACCAGATAGTGCCACCATATGGCACGGCTCACTTCTCCAGCTGTGGGCATCATGATACAGCACACAATTTATCCCACTACAAGAGGAACTCAGAGGCTTACTTTGGTAAATCTATTACTACAATAAAGCAGGGTGCTGTTTATATGCATGGTGGCCCACTACTATAGAAAGTGACCAACAAGGAATCAAGCGTGGTTGTTTGACAGCTACTGCTGAAGTGGTTGAGCGTGTGCATGCACAGGCAACACAGTGAGCTAATGTGCTACTGCTACATTGATGCTTGCTTAGGAGAGTTCGGGCATGGGTCTCACGTGAGAGCCAGAGCTGGGAAGTGAGGTTTATGAAGTAGGAGGTGTAGCCGTCTCCGTCCCAAGGGTCGCCAAGGTCTCGATACTCGTACGTCGGATCCGGGGCGTTGACGTAATCGTCCAGAGGTGTTGCTGCACACGCAGCCACCAGAAGACTCAGCAACAGGAGTACCTTCATCGTTTGCCCTTCCTTTTCCTTCCTAGTTCCTTGCTCGTGGCTTGTCGCTGGCGCGCGCGCACTCGTAGTCTAGTCACATGATTTCAGCCCCGCCCATATTCCTGCAAAACTACTCAATCGTGCGCATGCTTCTTACGTAACTGGTCTTGCACGAGGTTTCGAATTTCTGCAGTGATAATGATATGGTGAAGGACTACCTCATAGTTGCACAACTGCTGTGTGCTACTTCACAAAGTTATACACTAGGGAGCAAGCACTGGTGTAGGAGCATGCTCACCCATTACATACGGCACATCAGTCCAACAAATACATGTACGAAAGTGAAGTGTGTTAAAAACAGTGCTGGCTGCACTTTCAGTTGTGGTTGATTAGCCACTTTTCCCCAACAGCCAATTGTCCCCACAATAATATGAAAAGCAATTATCTTTTCCTTTTGTTCACTTTGGACCACAGAGCATGAACACAAAGGTTAACAAGCAAGCGGGAAGGATTGAGTGGTGGAAGCGTACATGCAACCACCTCATCATTATGTTGAAGGTCAGGTTATTGCAGTCTTCAGCAGTTTGCAAATGTTTGGCCAAACGAACCCTAGAATTGCCACCCAAGAAGTTGCCTTTGCCATAAAGCACACATTGATGGAGCTACATACTTTACTAGGATGTTAGGGAACATGGAAAAACTAACTGCACTCTGCGGCAAAAACAGGTGAAACATGCCTGCGTCTGCAAAAAAGTGTTATCCTATACTTACATACACACACTCAGAACTTATCCATGTGATATAGCTAGTTCCCTGTCATTACCTGTAATGCTGGTGAGTGCACTCACTTGGAAAGATGACCATAAACAGCAGTGATCCTTTAGTCTTGCGGTTTGTGTAGGGAGTTCCGCTAGTAATAGCTCACAACTGTTGCAACAACCGCAAAAGGAATTCAAGGTAAGGGCCCACAGTACACACTTCATACTATTTCATGGTAAGCACCCCACTAAGAATTTGGTGTGAATTCTCCCATTGCACTTCACGAGAACCTCAGCAGCATATTTATGACTTTTTTCAGCTAAAAAGTTGTTCCTGAAAACTCCAGGTTTGATGGGGATTCCACTGAAAGGCTGATGACTCGTGAATAATAGTTTTCTCCCCGGAATTTCGTCTACACTGAAGAGTGTAGTACTAGATGAAGCAAGATTTCCTGAAAACAAAACAATACACTGGCAATATCCCGTGCATCCATGCACGCTGCAGGAGATATAATGTATGTGCTGCACTGCACGCGACATAAAGCGCGCGGGGTTGTGTGGAGCTCTGCATAAAAAATTAATTCGCGCGTGCAGTTGTCAGGACGCGGCAGCGTGAAGTCAGCGCACGATGGACCCGGGTGGTGGTCCTAGCGACGGACATACCTTCGGCCAGCGACAGCCGCCACTCTACGTTACCATCCAGAAGATTCTGGACAAGTATCCGGACGGCCAAATATTCAAGGTTGGCACTATGCAGCTAACCATCGACCCCCCGCCATTATTATATGGTATAACTATGTCAGGAATAGCTATTAGTGGTATGCAGAAAGGTCACACTGGGTAGCAAGAGCTATAACTGTATAAGTGGAGAAAAGGGAGAGGCAGAAATGCGCAGTCACAACAATCCCCACCTTTTCACACACATTTTTTAGGAGATTCCACCCTTTCCACTCATTTCTCTGTACAGGAGAGTCAACCCTAACCCGCTAATCCCACCCTTTCCACTCACTCTCTACAGGAGATAATTCAGAATGCTGATGATGCTGGAGCAAGCACTGTGCACTTCTACCTGGACAGCCGTCAGCATGGATCACAGTCACTGATCTACAGCAGTATTGGCCAGTTTCAGGGACCGTCTCTACTCTCCTACAATGACGCCATGTTCCAGGAAAAGGACTGGCAGAGTATTCAGGACATGCAGCAGAGTGTAAAAGCGGAAGACCCTTTCAAAGTTGGAAAGTTCGGGATCGGTTTCAACTCAGTCTATCACATAACAGGTGTGTTTTGGGGCTGTGTAATATACTTAGGATGATAGGTATTATACTGTTAGTGTCTTCTGCTTAAAGTCTTGATGTCACTGTTACTGGAAAAACTTTTACAAACTCAGTAGCTGGCTACTGTAAACCTAGGTGAACAAGTTTGCTGAGTGATCTTTAAGCCCCGTGGGAAATCATAACATTTCACCTTTACAGTTATTGTACTACATCCCCCTAAGAAATGAATGTGTAATGAATGTGTGGTCTCCTTTCAAAATTCATGTATGTATCTGCATTCATTACAGACCTGCCCACCATTGTCAGTGGGAACAGACTGGCCTACCTTGACCCACATGAGGAGATCTGGCCTCGACAGACTGGACAGTGGTATGAAATCAACCAGAATGCACACTGTTCAGACACATTTGCGCCTTTTGAAGCCCTGTGCGGGTTTTCAGTTAGAAACCGTAGCTACAATGGTACTTTGTTCCGGTTTCCATTGCGCAATGTAAGTCGAGCAAGGCGGGTGTCATCTCATACATATGACATAAATAAGCTTCGAAACCTGCTCAGCGCTCTTCGGGGAGAAGCCCAGTGCATTTTGCTCTTTCTTCGATCAGTTCGCAGTGTGAAAGTTTTCGAAATTGGGAGTACTGGTAAGCATTCAAACATCTTGGATATCGGCATATCTGAAGTTTCGCCACTCAATGAACTGAGTCAAACGCATGCAATATTTCAAGCTAACCTCAAGAGGCGTTTCGAAGCGCAATCCTACGGCTTCAGGGATATGTTGAGTGAAGTGGTACATGTTCAGGTCGATGTTAACGATTATCAAACACGAAAATCAGGTTCCAGCAAGTGGCTGGTAGCAACCCAAGTGGGATCCCAGTCGGACGAAGTAAGAAGACTAGCGAAAGAATTGAAAGCGTTCCCTTGGGTTGGGGTGGCACTAGAAACAAGTGGCAGTAGCAGTGGCGGCCGAGTGTATTGTGTTCTGCCAATGCCTCTTGAAGTAACATGTAACTTACCGGTACATGTCAATGGTACATTTAGCCTCAATGACGAACGGCGGGAACTAAAATGGCAAACTATTGAGCGACGAAACGATCCATCAGCTCAGTGGAACCATTTGCTTGTCAGAGAGCTCCTGCCTCCCTGCTATGCCATGCTGCTTCTAGACCACGCTAAGATTCTTCTAGAGCCTGATCAGTTCTGCCAAGCCTGGCCTGATACCAGTAAGGTGACGGGAACACCCTGGCAAGAAATACTCTCACCTCTCCTGAGAACCCTGTTTTCCAGTGAGGTCATTCCTTTCTCAAAACCAGGGGGATTCCATACATGGATTAAGGTCAGCTCAGCTATCTTTGTTCCCAGAGGAGTAACGCTACACGCAGCAGTGAAAACTGCCCTTGTAGCCTGTGGAGTGAAGCTGGTAGCCGTAAAGGATAGAATTTGGAATGCTTTGAAGTTCTCCAACATTGCTCATGCGACAGTTTCAGCTTCTTTAGCTAGAGCTGAGTTACGAAAAACACCTAATAGCTACACTACGCTCTCCAGAGAGCAGAAGCTAGAGTTGCTTCGATACTGTCTCTCAGACAACCAATACGGAGACATGCAAAACCTAGCGCTGTTGCCACTTGCTAATGGAACCTTTACGTTGTACCTTTTCGGGACATACCGTAACAGTGCAGTCTACCTATGCACAGCACAGTGCCCAAGGCACCTTCTCCCATCTCTCGAAGGAGAATTAGTGGATGATAGTATTGACCCCCAGATTTATGCAAAGTTGAATGCCATAGCCAGTGGAGTGTACAATAGTAACCTTCATGTCCTCACTGTACACAGTGTGGCCAGTTTACTTGCAAGAGTTCTGCCAAACCACAACAAGATTTATCTGCCTTACTCAAAGTTTGATATGCAGTGGTTGGAGCGACTGTGGTATTGGATACCTGGGGAAAGCTTGCATCTCTTTCAAAACCTGCCGCTAGTGCCAGTAGGTGAGTCCACTGTAGTAATGAGGCTCAGTAAGGCATCAGCGGTTTTGTTCATTCCAAGTAGTACTCAGAACTATGGCAATCCCCTTATCAGTGCTCTGCAGAAATTGGGTGTAGAGTGCTGTCTGCAGAAAAGGCATCCATTTGTACACCATAGAAACATTCACTCCGTGATGAATATCTTTTCTCCGGAAGGAATTATAGGTGCAATACAGGCTGCATCACCTTCACACCACAGCATCTCATTCACCAGGGATGAGGCTGCCGAGCTTATCATGCAAGTGAATAACACCAGAGGCCTAAACTACCAACAGCAAGCTATACTAAAGGAGATACCAATGTTCACAACACTACAAAACAAGCTTTCTTCAGTGGCACAAGTAGAAAGGTCCACTGGAAGAGGGGCTCAGATCGAGCCTCCAAGTTTCCCGCTGAGCACGGAAAATCTCCCCCAAAGTGTTGTGCTTTTCTCAGGGTCAGGCTTTTACCAAAAGCCACTATTGCAAAACCTCTCTGTGCATTGCACAACAACAGTTGACGTCCTCACTAGACTCATTTTCCCTGAAATTGAAGGAGGGGCACTGGGGAGAAATGCAGCAAAGAAGATAATGAAAGAAGTGTTAGAAAAATACAATGTGATCACGTCGAGCATTGGTCATCGTAGTGTAGAGGCCTTGCAACAGGCAATAGCTACACTTCCATTTGTCCCGGTGTCTAGTGGAAAACCAAAGAGGCCCAATGTCCTATACACTCCCTTAGACCCCGAGCTTTCAAACCTCTTTTTCCAAGAGTCGGTATTTCCATTGGACCCATTTGCAGGGGGTAAATACGTCAAGATTCTTAAATTGTGCGGACTTAAGACCTTTGTGTCCAAACAAGAAATTGTTGACATCATCAGCAGTGTCGGATATCCCGGTAGTAATGATCCTGTGAGAGCCGACGAGGTTAGAGGTACCCGAGCAAAAGCGATTCTGACGTACATAAAGCGGTGGGAGCATCAGCTGAATGAGAATGTGTACATTGGAGCACACTCGCGGCATCTCCACCAGCGAAGCTTACAGTTCTCACAAGCACTGAGAGAGCTGTCTGTCACCAAGTGCTGGTTGCCAGTTCAGTCGTCTCCTCCAAGAAAGTACCCGTCGTGCCTCACCTGGAAAGGTAGTAGCTGCGATTCCCATTTTGTCTCCTTTGGGTCTTCAGTCCTCTTGCACAAGGAGCAGATGTCCCTCGCCCTTGCCTGTGGCTCACAGATGTACCTTGTCGAGCACTCTCTTCCGCACGCCATATGCAAAGCTTTTGAGCCAGCACCTGAAGACGTGGTAAGGCACATAATGGCTCATTTGGAGACAGTTATTTTGAGCTGCGAGCAATTTAGCAAAACTGAAGAAATCAGAAATGTCGTGCACACTATCTACGTGTGGCTGACCATATACAGCAGTGAAGGTCACACCGCAGACCTTTCACAACTGAAGGAGACTCAAGATTGTGTGTGGTTTACTCGACAAAGGAAATTTGTTCACCCAAAGAACGTTGCACTTGCTCAAAACCCTGAATTCAGGCACAATCTGGTGCCCTTCGTCTACATCCTTCCAGACGATCTAGCACAGTTTGAGTGCCTATTCAAGGATCTCGGTGTCCAGGAGATGGTCACTAGAGAACAGATCCTGGGAATCCTCCCAGCAATCAAAGAAGGAGACTCCCACAGTCTGGGTATCAGTAGTGAACAATCCTGGCAGTTGGTTATGGCCATACTACACTGGCTAACGGAGAGCGAGGAAGGTGAAATTGTCGAAAATGACTTAGAAGATCTGTTAGTCCCGGTACAATCCGATGAAACATGGCCTCAGCTTGTTGCAGGAGAGGGTGTGGTCTACACCGAAAATAACTTCCTGCAAGACTGCTACGAGCACTCTGAGGATAACGAAGCTGACCTTACTTTTGTCCATAGCCGAGTCACTTCTGAGATGGCGTCCCAGTTGCAACTGACCTCACTGAGCCAGAAGCTCAACATTTCAGATGATGCTTTTGAGGACGTCGGTCAAAGTGAGCCGCTTACAGTCCGACTCAGAAATATTCTAAAGGACTACAAGGACGGTCTCACAATCATCAAAGAACTCCTTCAAAACGCTGATGATGCCGGAGCTACAGAAATGAATATCTGCTATGACAAACGGTGCCACACGGACAAGCGCAGGGGCCTGTTCTTCCCTGGAATGGTTGAGTGTCATGGACCTGCATTGGTTGTCAACAACAATGCCATGTTCACAGAAGAAGACTTTGTGAACATCACCAAACTAGCAGGAGCTACAAAGGAGGCCCAATCCTTGAAAATTGGAAAGTTTGGCATAGGCTTCTGCTCTGTGTACCACATCACTGACGTCCCTTCATTTGTCAGCAGCGACCTTTTGTACATATTTGATCCGACGCTGAAATACCTCAAGAAAGAAATAAAGAATCCAGCGAGACCAGGAAAGAAACTCTGCTTTACATCACCATTCATCAGTCGGTCTAAACAACTGGAACCATATTTAGGAGTATTTGAGTTCGATCCTGCAGTCCAGTACAAAGGAACAACATTTCGCTTCCCTTTCCGAATGACAGTAAGTGAATTGAGTGAGAAAATTTACACGGATCGTGACATAAAACAGCTCATGGAACAGATGCAGAAGTCGAATTCGAAGCTCGTGCTGTTTCTTCAGAATATAGACTCCATCACATTTTCTCAAGTAAACCGTGGGCAGAAGCAGCCGAGAGAATTGATGAGAATCACAAAGAATACAGAAACTTTGGCTGAAGGCAGATGTATACACTCAATCACTTGCTCAGTCAACGGCTCAGCCGACACAACTGAATACTGGCTAGTGGAAACAAGTAGCCAGACTGTACTCCAGAAATATTCCACTGCATCAGTTGCATGTTCACTTACTCTGATTAGAGATGAAGAATGTTACAAAACACCAAAAATTGAAGGAGAAATATTTTTGTTTTCTTCCGCTCTCCATCAAAACAGGCCTTCCTATTCACGTCAGTAGCAATTTTGCTGTGATTAACAACAGAAGAGGAATCTGGACTTCCGACGAAAGCGATACTGCGAGGAGTGAGGAAGTCAAATGGAACGTTTCCCTGATGAAAACTGTCATCTGTTCCGCTTACTGTGGGCTACTAGAAGCACTGAAAGAATTGCAGAGCGATTCAAAACTCGAAGAATATAAATACTTTTCAATTTGGCCTGTTGAAGAAGAGCTGCTAGTTTACAATCCATGGCATTACTTTGTAGAGGAACTATACAGAATCATTGCAGAAAGGGACCTGTTTTTCTCAGATTCAACTGACAGGTGGCTAACACTGGATGAGAGTAAATTTCTTGATCCTGATATTCTCAGAGTTTCCTACAATTCACCATTTCCCTGTGCTGTGTTAGACATTGTCAAGCATATTGAATTACCTGTCGTCCACCTTCCAAAGAAGTATCACGAACACCTTGATCTCGCTGAATCAATTGAGACAGAGAAAACATTTCTGGAACACTTCTTTGACACTATTGATCAACTGGAAGATGTGCTAGAGAGCCGAAATGAAGTTCTGTGTCTCGCACTGGAGTGTTACGCCAGTGAACTTGACCGGAAAAAAGAAAGATTTTCGTATCTTCAGGAACTCTTAAAAGGGAATGCCTGCATTCCTTGTGCACCTGATGGTGTAGAGCTGAAAAGACCAGAAGAGCTGATTCATCCATCTGCCGAGTTTGCTCAGCTGTTTGACGTTGACGAAAATGTTTTTCCTCTCCAACGTTTCTGCGACAAAGTTTTCGTGGATAGGGCAATGAAGGAACTTGGAATTGTCCATGATTCTATTCCGCTTAAACTTTTAGAGGACAGAGCCAGTGGTATAGCAGAGCTCTATAAAGAGGAGAAACTCAAAGCTATGGAAAGAGCACAGTTGATTGTTAAATGTCTGGAAAAAGAAGATAAGAGGAAACGTTTTCTTCAGAGAAATGTTCCAAACTCTCACAGATTCCATTTTTACCGTAATGGAAAAGCCTGAAAACTACCTCCTTCAATGGAAAGGGGAAAAAGACACACTTCACAGAGGGTGTGACATTTTCAGGAGTGGGCGGTTGAAAGATGACGCGACAAATATTTCACTCGCTGGCTCTCAATTGATTTTCCTCAACCAGGAGCCACCAAGTAAAGGAGGCTGTGGTATTGTAGTCTAAGAGCACAAACTCTGCTACAAATCAGGTTATCTCCTTCCTACGCAGCCGTCATCTCCCACTTTCATCACTTGATCGACACATTCGAAGAGTCTAAAGAAATGATTGAGTTGGCCGATCGCACAAGCAGGAAAGTTTTATGAGTTCCTCGAAAAGCTGTTAGCTGAGGAGTCAGAAGAATCTGAAGGAGTTGGTCCATGTCTTGCAGAGAAACCATGCATTTGGACCGGACGAAAAGTTTGTAGAATGCAAGGCTGTGGCCATGAAGTGGAACCACAATGGCCCATACTTATTCAAGGTCCCTACCAGTTTGGATAGACGCAAATACCTTAAAAAGGCTCTTGGAATAAGGGAACAGTTTGACGTTGAAGACATGGTAGTTGCTCTGAGGTGTTTGAAAGGTGATTTTGGAGAAAATCAACTTCCTGACAATTGTCAAGAATTAGTTAAATCTATTGTAATCCATATGGCATCTGTACCACTGGAAAGAGATTTTGGGCCAGTAATGCTACCAGACACTCAATTTATACTGCACGAGGCAAAGAAACTCTACCACAATGATATTCCATGGGCACCACTTGATGATGACTATTGCTATGTACATCACGCGGTTCCTCTTGGAGCCGCGGTAGCACTAGGAGTCCAGCTGTGCAGAACTGCCAGTCTCGCCAAGTACAGTGTCGATAGCGAGTTTATGGTCATGGAGTTTGGGCAGCATGAGGATCTCACGAAACGAATACAAAATATCATTCGTGACTATCCGTTCGATATGACGATTCTCAAAGAGCTCCTTCAGAATGCTGACGATGCGAAGGCTACAAAAATGCACGTCATACTGGACATGAGGGAGCACAGTAAGGAGAACCTTTTGTCGGAAAACTGGAGTGAACTGCAAGGCCCAGCACTACTAGTATGGAATGACAGTGTCTTCTCAGACTATGACCTGGTAGGTATAAAACGCCTGGGTCTTGGCAGCAAGCGGTCTGATTCAGAGACCATTGGTCAGTATGGAATAGGCTTCAATGCAGTTTACCATCTCACTGACTGCCCAAGCTTTCTGACTGGCGGTAATAAACTCTGCATCCTAGATCCTCACATGAGGTATGTTCAGCACGGTACTGTAAAGCATCCCGGTGAAATGTACACCGGACTGGATGAGAAGTTCTGGAAAAAATTTGATGGGATACAGTCAGCGTATCTACGAGATGGCCTCATAAAAGTACCGAAAGAGTTACTTGGTGGCACTCTATTCCGATTTCCGTTGCGACACACAATGGCACATGTTACCTCATCTGAAATTGTCAAAGACTTAAGTGGAAAAGTGGTGGATCGGGTGATATCAGCTCACAGAATGTGTGACCTACTCGAAGATTGGGTACCTAACATGAAACAATCCCTACTGTTTCTCAACAATGTCGTAGAGCTTAAGTTCTCTGTAATCAGGGACAGAAGGGGAGTGTTGCACTTACAAAACCGGTACAGAACTGAACTCGATGAAACTGCTTGTGGAAGAAGAGTAGAACTTGCGCAAAAGGTGAAAGCATACGATGATACTACCACCGGTGGGGAACCTTTCATTACAACCTATCCATTAACTCTCGTAGAAACTGTTAAAAAAGGAAAGGATGTGAAGGAAGAATGGCTAATTCAGCAGGGAATCGGTGACATGGAAAACAGTGTAAAAACCTGGTCATACGTTGAACAAGTCAAGCCGAGGCATGGCATAGCAGCTCCACTAAGACATAAAAGGACCAAAAATTGGACGGTCAAGTATTTTGCTTTCTTCCACTGCCGTTGAACTCAGGGGCTTCCAGTTCACGTCAATGGCCACTTTATTCTCAACTCAACGCGAAGGAACCTTTGGGTAGCTACTGACCACGAGAGAGGAGACGACAAATCCCATTGGAACCAAAATATACTGCAGGCCATTGCTGCTTCTTATGCCCAGTTTCTGGAGCGAATTCCGGAGTATTTTCCTCAGCTAGAAGGACGTGCCAAGCGAGAGACTTTGGAACTGGGAGTAACAGAGTATTATGAATTTTTCCCAGTACACATTCCCTCTCTGAGCCTTGGTTGACACTGGCTAACCAGGTATTTCAAATATTGTCCAAACGCAATTCTTCAGTGTTAGCCGTGCCTACCAACATATCACCCAGAGCCTCGAAGATAAATATGTACTTCATTGGCAGCAACTAAAGAGCGAAAAAATGCCAGTTTCTCAGGTTTATTTTCCAGAGAACCAAGCACGGGATCTCATATTGATTCTTGAAAGAATTGGCATGAAAATCACGTGTGCTCCAAAGAGGATAATGAGGCAGTTCAAAAAAGTCAAATGTGAAATTCCAACACTATGTCAAGCAAGTGTCTTTGACTTTTACATAAAATTCTGCACAAGGTTCGTTTCAGCTCAGTTTCCATGTCCAATTCAAGATACTCCATTCAAATGTGTCGAGGATTTTAAAGCATTCACAAATTTCTTACTGGCAGCGCAAGCAGTGCCGTCTTCTTCATTTGCTCTCTCTTTGTTTGGATATACCAGTGGTGATGTTTTTCCAATGGAGCCTTTTGGCTATCCTTTACTACTGAATGCTGCTGAACAGCTCTGTGTTTTGATCAAGCTAACAAAATTCTTCGCTCAAAACATTACAAGGTGTTTCCAAGCTGTCAAGACAAATTCTTGCATCCTGAACTCCTTACATGCTCACACTCGCCATCCTACTTTGTCTCAGCTACAGATAAGCCAGTCTGTGAAACGATTGTCAAAAAGCTACTAGAGACAATCCTTCCAAAAGAACTAAAGAACATGTATGTGTCATCTGAAAGTGATGCGTTGACCAAGTTTGACATAAAAGCGTGTGGGAAGTTCTTTCTAAAGACGAAGTATTTAGGTCAGTTGTAGATGAAGTGCTAAAAGTGTGGGCTCTGCTTCTAACCAAGGACAAGAGATTATTTCGATGTGGATCGACTGAGCAACTTTTGCCAATCATATTGGATTCTTATTTTTCAGTAAACTCAGTGATAGAGAAAGAGTTAAAAGCACCAATACTGGACACTGAAGTAGTGCCTGCTGCAACTGTCGAATCCCTCTGTCCGAAGTTATCTGATCACAAGGCCGTGCTTCGAAATCTTGTTTTCCTTCAAGGAGAGTTTCCATTCTCTGATTCGATAACAGTACACAGTGCAGGCCTACTTATTACCTATTTGTCACATATCAATCTTAAGCAGGAAGTGCAGTGTTGCCAGCAGCTTAAGTGCTTACCTCTCTTTGAAAGAATGGACAAAAGTCTTACAATACTTCAAGGAAAGAGAGTGTATATTTGGCCTACACATATTTGCCAGGAAGGCAACCAGCAATGGCTTATGGGAACAGACCTTGTGTTTCTGAATCCTAATGGTGCATGGAGTCGCCTAGGAGTTGAGAGTGAGCTAGGAATACAGAGAATAACAGCAGAAGAAACCTATTTGAAGTTCATATTTCCTAATTTCTTCAAGATGAGCAAAAAAGACCGTTACCTTCACTTGAAATATATTCATGATTACCTGTTTGATGGTAACTTCGCAATCCAAAAGAATAACCTTCCAGCCCGCAACTTTATTGCAGGACTTAAAAACGTTTCATGCATTGGAAATGATGGAGAACAGCTAAAACCTGTATGTCACTTTTTTACTCACCAAAAGAAAGTTTTTCAGACATTTCCAGACCATTTCCCAACTCTCCCGAAAGACCTTTTGAAAGGGGAAGTAAAATACTGGATGCCCTTTTTCAAGAAAATTGGACTTCAAGACACAGTGAATAGAGACACATTTGTTACCCTATGCCAATACGTTGCTGCTGGAAAACTTAGAGAAAAGACTACAACAGGTTCTAAAATACTTTTGGACTATCTGTTTTCCACCGAGGAAGCCAAACACCATGGATTTCACCAAAATTTAAACCTCCTCGGGACAATCTCTCAAATACCGTTCGTCTGTCCAGTTCCGGTACCAGAATTGGAATGGATTCACAAAGTTCCTCCAACACCAAATAAAGTGATACTTGCAAACAAAGAGGAGGTACCACTTTGTAAACTGTCTGGTTGCTGCGTTGCAGAATTTAAGCACCTGCTGTGGCCGGTAAAACTAATAGTTGATATAAGTGATAGCGATGAAGTGCCACAAGTGTTAAAAATCCTTAATATAGCTGCAAACCCAACAGCCACTGATTTAGTAGCCAGTGTCAAATGTATTGCAAAAACTTGTTTTTCTGATCCAAAACTGTTCAAGTACACGGCACCTCAGTGCAAATCCGGCCATAAGAAGTTGATGGATGTTATGACAAAGATTTTTCTGCACTTACAGAAGTTTCAAGATAATATTGATTTTACTGAGCTACAGCACTTGCCTTGTGTTCCAGTTTATGCCATTTCAGACGAAGACGACTCTGGCCAATATCCGGTTCTTGTTAAGCCGCACTGTGTTGTTTTTAGGCCAACGGACGACACAAAACCTTACTACCCCTTTTTACACAGTGTCGGTAACACTTTATACCCGGCAAGGGGACTCTTGGAAAAACTTGGCATACAGGATTCTTTGGAGCTGGAACATATGCGGTTAGTCCTTGAATTAGCGTTTACGACTTCTGAATCGGGAAATGTAGAACTGGAACCAAACACAATGGAAGTAGTGAGTTGTGCTGTGGTGGAAATCAACACTTTACTGGACAAGAATAAGAAAAAGAGGAAGAATCAAATGGGAGAAGACCTTCTAGTTGAGAAGTTAAAACCACTGTATTTATCAGGTACAGACAAACGAATGCATCCTGTTGATTCTTTAGTGTATACTAGTATACGCCACGTGAATCTGGGTGATACAGACCTTTACCTGTTGTGGACACCAAGAACTAGGGATGTTTATCCAGAAAGGTTCTGTAAGCTTCTTCCCAACGTTCTTCGACCAAAAGCACTCTCTGAATTGTGCATTAGAAAGGTGTCTGAGTCTTGCGTAGAATGCAAAAAAGATTCAATACCAAAGCATGTGAGTGAGTTTCAAAGGAGCATGACCTTTCCAAACCTACAGCATTCTCTGTACTTAGCGGAAAATCAGCAGTTTCCACCTCTTTAGCAACTACCCCTGAGTCTGAACAGCAGAGACTGTGCGAACAGTTGCAAGAACACCTCGAGAATTTTTTTGAATCACTCACAATTACTTGTGTTACTGGTCTAAAAGTAGAGCTTTTTCTCAAAGATAGCGAATTACCAACACCAGTAGCAGATACAAAAACTGAATGTGCGCTTCAAGTTGAAGAGAAAGTGTACATTCTCTACATAGACGCAGGAATCAAAGCTATACGTATGTCACACGTGCATGAACGTGTTGTTAAAGAGTTGTTATCGTGTTTGAAAGGTCATTTAAAAGACACTGATTTCGAAAACTTGAAGAAGTTTGTAGCAGATTTGATCAGTGCAGACAGTCAACATGGAATATATTCACTGCTACAGAGTCACCAGATAAACGTCAATGAAGAAGATATTTCGATTGATGTGCCCAGACCTGGGGATGCTGTCCCAACATCATGGCACCACAGGCTGGATATGAGCAACCAAAACATTTTCCGTCCCCAAGAATGGGTAGGATACAAACCACAAGATCAAGAGGAGACTTATATTTTTTGCTCTGGTAAGCCACCCTGTTCGTCTAAGAGATGCAGCAGGGGAACCACTGCCACCAATGCAAATGGAATACATCATTTTACCAGTGAAGATGACGCCCAAGGGAAGAAGGTGAAAGCCATCGATTTGTATAAGTTCATGAGGGTGAGACTGCACCTGATGATGCCATGTTGGAATCTGCTCCCTTCTGAGAGTCGGGAGATTGTCCGATTTGAAGGTGATGCTGAAAGCATTGAACCTCCCCCTGCCCCTATCAATTTGCAGCAGGCAAAGGAAGAAGTCAGAAAAGAGCTGGGAGAGATTTGGCGCCTTTCGCAAGACGAGCGCAAGAGAGCCATCCGGCGTCTATATTTAAAATGGCACCCAGATAAAAACCTGACGTATCCGGAACTGGCAGAAGAGGTTTTCAAATTTATTCGGGAGGAGCTGGACCGACTGGAAAGAGGTGATGGAGTATCAGCCTCAAATAATTCAGGGTCCGTATCAGTCGTGGAGGGCACACCAGCAGACCTGGAACTCGTATGCCAGCCAACACAGGCACTACCAGCAACAGGCAAGAAACAGACGTAGTCAAGGTGGTGGAGGGGGAGGGGGAGGGGGGGAGGGGGAGGAGGAGGAGGACATGGCGGAGCTACTGGTGGCGGGGGTTTCTTTAGTCAACCATTCACGCCGCCTACAAACGAGACCAAGGCAAAGCAGTGGGTGAAGCAGGCAGTCGCAGACCATAGTGCACTGCAGGTCCTGTTGAACGAGGCACAGAATAATCCTCACCTCTATTGCCACGTGTGTTTCATGGCACACGAAGTGGCCGAGAAGGCCCTAAAAGGTGCCATGTATTTTACATGCGGTTTGCGTAAGGCGCAAGCAGCGAGTCACAACATCATCCCACTGGCATTTGCAGTGGAGCAAGTTGAAAAAGACAGAGCAAGGGGTCTTTCGATACTAGCTGAGCCACTGGAGTCTGCCTACTATGAAGATACAAGATTCCCAAAGGAGAACGAAACATCCTCGCCATGTGAAGCATTTACTCTTGCAAATGCCATTGAGGCTGAAAAGTGTGCAACAGGAATACTCAAGATTGTCAGAGACCTGGTTAATATAGATATTTAGAACTTTTGCACAATGTAGTAGCGTATCATCTTAATTTTTTGGTATAGCAACAAATTTTTTGATTATCGTGATAATACAAAGCCGCAGGTGGCAACACGCAAAAGGATGAGGTAGTTCTCACCCCTAGTATCAGAAAATGGCTGGAAATATAATATAGGAGACAAATACTAAGAAAGCAGGTTTGTACGACTAGACATAAAATCCATTATTGAGAACTGGTTATTTTCAACTGAAATGAATATCGGTTATCTCCCCTGGAATTTTGCGCCACTGAGAATGGCCAGCCAGCTTCTCACATGATTGTGAAGAGTCAATACGAATTTAGTCTTGCTATATAAAATACCTTTTCAACAAGAAAACTAGCAGCAGCACCTTTTACACAGTTCATAGACCATCTCCTCTGCCCCAGATCGACGACCCATAAATTAGGTAGGTCCTTAGCGCACACGCACCTATTACAAAGACATTGTAGAGACTTGACACAATGCTGAGTTATACTACTATGAACTAGTGAATTATGAAATTTTGGGGCGGAAGCTTTGTCCCTAGGCATGAGACACTTAGTAATCCTAGCAAGCACTGTGGGCAAACTTACAGCTCTCACTGTGAGAGGAGCTGCAGTCTATAATTATATAGCTATCCTTGAAGTGCAAGTCACAGCTAGGTGGCCACCCACAAGAAAATTGAAAGGACAAGGTACATATACGCTTTCACAGTGTCATATGCAGTGGATAAAGCTGGAGTCAAGACTAAGACTTAGGAGGAAACCTACCTTTACAAGAACTGTGCAATCTTGCATTGTGATGGACAACTACAAAAGAACAAAACTTTTCCGTAGTGAATATCGGTGATGTCCCAGGAATTGTGTCTATAACGACCCCCCGGTGCAGCAACACAGTTCTACGAAAAACTTCAGGGACCCCCACGTTACCGCACGTACGCCTACTCGCAGGGCGCGGCGGGGCGGTCGTGCGGAATAAAAAGCGTGCAAACGCTGTCGTGCATTCCTTGCTGGGAATGACCGCTGCTTCATGTGCAGTGCCATGGATTCAAGCAGCGCCGTGGAGGGGCATGCCTTTGGCCAGCGACAACCGCCACTCTACGTTACCATCCAGAAGATTCTGGACAAGTATCCGGACGGCCAAATATTCAAGGTTTGCCAGGGAAACATCCATAGGACGACTTTATAGGAACGACAAAAATACACGCCGCTTTACCACGTCCTCAAAAACAAAAAAGTTACCTATCAGTCCATGCTGGAGCACAGCGTTTGCGGGAATCAAATCGATACTGCAGGTGGGGAATCCTTATGCATGCAAGAACTAGAGGCCCAACCCTAACAACCCACCTACCCGCTAATCCCACCCTTTCCACTCATTACTCTGTACAGGAGATTATTCAAAATGCTGACGATGCTGGAGCAAGCACTGTGCACTTCTACCTGGACAGCCGTCAGCATGGATCACAGTCACTGATTCACCCCAGTCTAGGCCAGTTCCAGGGACCGTCTCTACTCTCCTACAATGACGCCATGTTCCAGGAAAAGGACTGGCGGAGTATTCAGGACATGCAGCAGAGTGTAAAAAGTAACAAAGGTGAATTCTATAATTGTATACCCTGTGTGTACTATGTTTTATGAGGTGATGCTACCGCAAAGGGTGAAGGGCTTCGCGTGCAGACTGCTGACGAAAAATATCATCTTGCAACGTTTCGATCCCTGAGGCAAGTGAATACACAGGCAGATGCTGCCTATTATATAGACGTATAATTTATTCTAACATGCTTTATTGTCAGGTGTCTAGGTTCAGCCCCTCAGGAGACAGAATTCTCAGTGTGAAAATCCAAAAGTTTTCTCTTCTCTCCTCTGTAGAGTACCTCCATGGTGGATCTTCTCTATGCCCCTGACTTCTACATCTTTTGTGTGGTGGTCTCGTCGGCAGAAATGGGCTGCTACTGGTTTATCAGTTTTTTTTGGTCTGGATATCTGAACGTGTTCGTTGATCCTAATGTGTAGAGGCTGTTTTGTCTCTCCCACGTATTGTAGATTGCACCTTTTGCATGTTATGGACATTGTTCAGATATCGGGACCAAAAAAACTGATTTACCGCTAAACAGTGTAACACAGTGGGTCCCACTTTTAATACCTTCTCGGAAGCAAGAGACAGTAGTTAACAACACCGGTTTTTTTGGATTTATGTTTGCATGAACTTGTGGGACCCTCTATATTAATTATCACACATAAATTAACACATGATTTCAGCCCCGCCCATATTCCTGCAAAACTACTCGTGCGCATGCTCAGTATGATTCTTACGTAGCTGGTCTTGCACGAGGTTTCGAATTTCTGCAGTGGTATATACAGCCATCTTTCATTATCCACTTTAGAACTAGTAGAGATTTCAATGTCAATGGTACATGTATTGAATCCATCAAACAAGGCAGTGCTTGGTTAATAAAACAGGTATAATTATACATATGTGCGAGTCCATGGAGATGCAGCACTTTAGTTTCAGTTTTTGTTGCTGTCACAACAGTTGGGCCAGTTTTCTTTGTCCCCACAGGTATGAAAAATTATGAAAGGAATTCCCATTCACTTTTGAGCAATAGAAGAAAACACTAAAAGTGAAGAACTAGGTAAACAGTAGGCCGGCTGAGTAGCCAGATGCAACAACCATTTTGAGGTTGAGGTTATTAGATAATGATGGTTAA